TGCAAATGGCGTTTCTGAGATAAGGGAGCAGTAGGTCAATTAAAAAAGTATGGAGACACTAAATTAAAAAAAATATCATAAAATGTTAGGTTAGTAGGTTAAAAGCGTAGGTACTATTAGGGAGGTAGAGAGTACTCAAAAAAGCGTATGGCAAATTGCAAGGGGGGGGGGGGAGGGGGTGGCAAAAAAAAAGCGTACGTACTTTATGGACAACCGATTACGTTCATAGAAAAACATTTTTAAAAAAACATTATATATATATATATATATATATTATATATATATATATATATATATAAACTTACTTTATATATATATAAAATAAGTTTTTTTTATAATGACAAAAATTTTCTCTTGAACTATTTCAACTTTTAATTTAATTCATAAGGTGTACCTTTTGTATGCTAAAAAAGTAGAAAACCGACTCAAAAATTTTTTGATTCTGATCTTTTTGATTGTGAAGTAATTTGCTAAGATTTCCAAAAAAAAAAAAAAGAATGCCAACGTTTGAAACCAATATGTATACTATTCCAGGCAGTACCTGTTTTATATTTTTAACACTAATATACTTTTAATTCAAAAATTATATTTTTATTGCTATGATGAAACTATTGGAAACAGATGGTCTGATGTTGTATGCTCTATACTGCATGATTTTAAACTAGCAATTGTCTCAAATGTATAGGATATCAAATTAATTTACAATTTATGTGCTAGGCAAAATTGAAAATGAAAAGTTTTAATTTGATTATATTATCTAGTTTATAAAACTGAAAAACTTGACAATATTGCTGTTTCATTGCCAATTAGAACTCTGTCACATTATGTATAGGCATTACACCTCTAAAAAATGTGACAGAAACATTGGACATTGCAAATGAAAAGTTTCTTGCAGAAACACTAGACGATCTTACAAAAAACCATAACAAATCAATGTTGTATATAAACATGATACAAGAAAAATTTCTGAAATTTGCAGAGTTTCAAAGCCAAACTTGTTGGTTGTTTGTTCATTTAAGACATGTTCACTTAGAGAAATTGAAATATTAAAGGCTAGTTAAACTTTAATTATATGAAAAAATGAAAATATTTAATTTTATGTGTGTTATATCCCATATATTTAAATCAATGATCGAAGTGCCTGATAAACTGAAACAAGCATACATAGCTCTGTTGCCTTTTTTTGTTAAAAATTTAAAGACTCATTTAAGCTGAACATTTTTCTGAATGGACAAAATAAGACATTATTTGATCTTATTTTATCTTTTTTATTTAATTTTATTTTTTTTTGAAAATAAAAACAAAACATTTTTATCAACATTGCATTCACAATTGGTTTCAAATCAAGTTTGTATAAACCATATGTATGGTTTATACAAACCATACATATGGTTTGTATAAACCATACATATGGTTTATACAAACTTGATATAAAGTGATGGAATACAGACATCATGGAATCATCTGTGATATGGTTGCAATGCTATTTTGTATAAAGTTAAAAAAAACTTTCATATAATATATTGTTTGAATTTTTTTTATTAAAAAAGGGAGGGGGGATGGCTTTGTTATCCAATCACACACTTCGTACGTCACAGTTTAATTACAATGTGTTACCATCTACCTTTAAAAAAATAAGTGCTCTAAAAGGTTACAAGCTAACATAACTTATGAGTTGATGAGCTTACAACGGAAAAACCACATATGTCCAAAATGAGTGTCTTGTTTTCAAAAGAACACTGTGAATAATTAATTCTTGTATTTAACACAAAAACTGTATTTTTATATTGTGTAAGGACAAAAATGTCAGAAAAATATACTTTTTATTTTAAATTATTAATAAACAGATGTGAAATCTTATGTCACTAAACACTAAATTTCATTTTTCCCAAAATGAGAAAAATGTGACATCTGTGGTTTTACCTGTATGGTCTACATATATATATATATATATATATATATATATATATATATATATATATATATATATATATATATATATATATATATATATATATATATATATAATATATATATATATATATATATATATATATATATATACATATATATATATATATATATATGTATATATATATATATATATATATATATATATATATAAAAAATCAAAAATATATATATATATATATAAATATATATATATATATATATTTTGATTTTTTATTTAATGAACAATTATTCCACAAGTAATTGTTTCAAATGGGCATTTTTTTAAATATTATTATATGAAGGTGCTTTTTTAAGAATTCATTATAAAATTTGTATCTGCAAAAATACTAAATTAATCTATTTAAATTAGATTTAGCTTCATTTAGCTATTGAATTATTGATACTATGAAGGATCTGATCTTATATTAATTTTATTATTATCTTCTTTATATAAATTATCTATATTTATCATGTTATTAAAACTTAATAGTAATTTTGAAATACTTATGTTTTAAGGAGTATTATCAATAACTATAGAAATAATTAAAAAACTAAAATAAAAAGATTAATAGCTTAAAATGGAATTTGAAATTTTTGGTACTTTTCTATATTAATTAATATAAATTCTTTTAATTATAAAAAATTAATGTATTAACATTTCTTAGGATTAGCAGTAATGATTAGATAAATGCAGATTTTCCAGATAAATCTTAAATGTTAGATCAAAGATATATCACCATTTTTTTATTTACGTGAAATGCAATTAGTTTATTAGGTTTAAACAGATCAAATGTTTAATATGGTTTTATTGTAAAACAGTAAACTGTTAATATAAGGATCTCTTTAAGTTTTTAAAGAGATCCTTAAGTGTTAAAACAAATTGTGTTCATATCTTTTTTATACCTCATATCTTAAATAAACCTTTTGCTGCATTTCAGTTTATAAAGAGTTTAAGTGCTCACTTTTAACAAAATGAAAAATGTAACTAAACTTTAATCTGGCTTTTTTCAAATAACTACTTTTTTATCTTTTTAAATAAAAAAGCTGCATTTCAGATTTTTATTTTTTTAAATAAAAAAGTATTTTGCTTTCACCAACAAATTATTCTTCACTTGATTCCATCAACAAAATTTTTGGATTTTAGATTTTATTTAAGTGACTGGCTTTTAACAACCTACAGCTATATTCACTTCTCTTTGTTAAACTAAAAAGTATTCTTAACTTTTCATAGTTTAAAAAAAAAATTCTATGAATAGCAATTTATTATTAAAGTTCTTTTGAAAAAAAAAAAAAAAAATTATATACTTAACAACAAAAAGGGAAAACTCAAACATTAAAATATACTGTAACTTTAACAATACTTATAATACTTATTTTTATTGACACCAAATTTTATTCAGACCAAATAAATTTTTGAATAAAAAAATCCGTTAAAAAAAAAATCCATTTATAAAAAAAAATCCATTAAATAAAAAAAAGCTGTTACTTTCCTTTGCAAAAAACAATATAGTGTTAAAAATCAAATTTTAATATTTCGATAAATAATTTGTTTTAGTAAGTTTAATTAACTCTAAACTTGTTTTCTAAGGTTTACTTAAGATAACACAACTTGTCTCAACACTTTAAAAGTGGTGAGATCTGTTGCAAGGACACACCCCCGACAAGTGACATAAGCGCAAACTTTAGAGGATCCCTTTAAACACAGTATATGTATATACATATATATATATATATATATATATATATATATATATATATATATATAAATATATATATATATATATACATATATATACATATATATACATATATATATATATATATATATATATATATATATATATATATATATATACATGTTTATACTGTGTATAAACATGTATATAATATATACATATACATAGATATATACATATACATATATATGTATATATCTATACATATGTATATGTATATATATGTATATATATATATTATATATATATATATATGTATATATGTATATATGTATATATATACATATATATATACATATATATACATATATATATATATATATATGTATATATATATATATATATATACATATATATATTTTATGAAAGTCTGTACATATGCATATGTATATATATATATATATATATATATATATATATATATATATATATATAATATATATATATATATATATATATATATATATATATATATATATGTATATACATGGTGGGAAGCGAGAGCTTTAGCTCTAGCTCTTGCCCACACTCCCCTAAAATGGTTTACGGGAGCAATTTACTGCTCTCGCAAAAGTATAATTTTTCTTACGAAAGTATAATTATCGTAGTAATTAAAACAAAAAACACAATGTCATTTATAAAAAAACTAATTGCATATTATACTGCAATGCTTTTTAAAAAGCATTTTATTTCAATACAAAAAAATAATTTTTTTAATTGAAATAAATAGTGAAAAGTACTTAATCCAATGGGACATTAATTCCAATTTTAGGTCAAGAAATTTCATACTAATACTGATACTTAATACTAATAATTAAATTAATAATAAAGAAAAAGTACATGTAATAAAGATACTATTGATAAAGCTTGTCAAACCTATTACATTTTTTTTAGTTTTGTTACTAAATATATTAAGTTGAGCAAAAAAATTTTACTAATAAAAATGTACATATTGAAATAAACAATTACTTACTAGAAATTTCTTAGAAAGTTCCACAAATAGACTTTTTTTTTTAATTACACAATTTCACTACAAATTTATCAGCATTTTTTTAAATAAATATTTTTTCCTCTGTTATTTTAGTAATATTTCTGGGTAAATTTATTTATTTAAAAACAATAATAAACTAAATTAAATCAACTTATTATTCAAAATCTTTAGTGAACATTTATTACTTGCTTAAAAAATATTTAACACATAAATTTAACTTTGATTTTAAAAACTAAATAAAAACAAATCTATTTTGAACACTAAACAATTTGTAAAAAATAAAAATAATAGAACAAAAAATAACTTGAAAAATCAAACACCTTGCTTTTGGTTGAAGATCAGTTGCTGGTGGGGGTCTAAGTGGATCATTTACTGCAAGTGGTTCAAACTTAATTTTAGGAGCAAAAGTATTTAAGTTTGTTTTTTCAAGTACATGATTAGATTTTTCTATATTGTTTAAAGGAACATCCATAAATTTATTATCTGACTGATTTTTTGAATTATCAAAAATTTTTGGGTTCGAAAATTTATTATTTTTATTGTATGACTGAGAGGAGCTGCGCAGTATATCCATATCTTCTAAGCAAAATTTAATATTATTATCACTTTCATGTTCAGTTGACAAATTATATTCTAAACATGGTTGACTGTGTAAAGAAGAACTACCAACGCTGGATCCATTTCCACTATCGTTCTTCCTATGACTGAGCCTAAAGTCTTCTTCATCACTATCAATTTCATAAGGTTCAACAGGAGGGTTTACTAAAACATTCGGAAACAGATGCACTTTTTTATCTGTTAACGACTTATGACTAAGTGTCTTTTGGTGGGAATGATCTATATTACTTGTATTGCTGTCATAACCTACATAAACTCCATTACAAGTGTTTACTGAAGCGTTACTCAATGGTTTATATGTTATAGAAGAATTCCTGAGTTGATTAAACTCTTCATCCTTAATTTCAAGCGAATTTGATAATTTTGTGACTAAGGAGTTTTGCTCCTCCAAACTAGAGTTCATCTTTATCAAAATATCGCCATTTTTCCATAGCAAAAATAGATACCTTTTATAAATTATACAATTTAGTTATTATTACAAGTTTTATTTTATATTACTCATATCATTTTTTTAAATTTATACCGCACGTACTATGTTATTATAAATACAGTCAGCGTCCCGTAAAATCAAGTATCGTTAACCGGAGGAAACTATCCAATCCCGTGCTGTCAATCTCGTGTGAAAAAGATAAAAATGATATTTTTTACATTTATGTAAAAATACTTATTCAAATATTAATGTATTAGCGAATATTATTTTATAAATAGTACTATTAGCAGTCGAAAACATATTGTGGTCTAGCTGATATTACTTCATGCCACAAATTGGGATTTATGGCATGAAGTAATAGCAGCTAGACCACGTAATTTGTGGCATGAAGTAATAGTCTTTATTACTTGTCATTAACAACACTTTGTATAATAAGAAAATGAAACAAAAAAAAATTTTTTAAACTAAAATTTTTTTTAATTTTATTTTATTAATTATATTTAGTAAAATGATAATAATGAGTATCTAGAAAAATGATTTTAAAAAGCATTCAAGCAAAAACAAAAACACAACGGCACCGTTGGCAGAACGTTGCGTAAGCATCCTGAAATAAAATGGTACATTTACAAGAAATTACATTTAAAAAGTACCATTTGTTAAGTCATGAACCTTAGAAACTCTCTGATTTTTTTTCTAATGTTGAAGATCTATTAACATTTCCATTTTGAATAGTTTGATCAATTGACAGAAAAGTACAAGTTTTTTTTCGTGGAGATAATAAATACTATTATTATTTACAATAGTACTACTGTAACTTTGATAATGTTTTTTCTTACATTTTGATTTATCAGTAATCTATAGTTAATAAAATGTTAATTATAAGATTTAAACTTTAGCTTTAGTTTCGAAAGATTATTGGCTTTGTTTCAATAAAATTAAAAACTTTGAGTAGTCATTTCTACACAATCATCAGTTGATTTTATGTAACTTTTATTAAATTGAAGAGCGTTTTTATAAAAGCAGCTAAGTCACATTTTATATGTTTTAAGAAAAATAAAAAATAAAGTAAATAAAGCTGATGAACAAAATTTTTTTTATTCGTGTTTAGTTAGATTCGTATCTTTTTCAATAAAGAATTCGAATGTCGAAAAAGTTCTGGAAAAAATGTGCTTTGCTTCTTTCAAAAATACGCTATTCATTTTATACATACTTAATAAAATACTGTAAACGATAATTTGGCTGAGGAAGTCTAGGCCCTTCACTTGTTAAAACACCAATTAAAGTTCAAACAGTTTTATCAAATTTTTTCTCAAAAAGTTTTTAATAAATCAAACCAATACATGTTACAAAAACGAATTATTATTATTTATTTTTTTTTACGTTTAAAAAGAAAAGACAATTTGTTATATTTCTTAGCAAACTCACTTATGATTTTAGTAAGCTCATAAATGAAACAATCTAGTGTTTATAAAAAAAGTCCGATGTACTCTTTATTTTTAACAAAAACACGCGGAAATACTCCAATAAAATAACATAAGATACGTAACATATTTTAGTATAAAATTTCTTAAATTGATCTAAAAAAATACTTTTACAATTAAATAGTCTTTAAAAACAGAATAACAGTAAAATAAATAGTTAATAGAAAAACATCTAATCCAAATAAAGTTTAACTCAAAGTTATTGCGAACGAAATGATCAGACATAAGTTAAATTGTTGCATAACTCGTGTTATTACTAATTTATTTATTGCATAAGTTATTTTTTTAAACAGTTAGAAACAATCATTTAAATTGCGGTCAGAAAAAAAAAAATTAATAAATTCACGTGTCTCTTGATTGAGAGCATATAAAAGTTTTAATTAACAGATTAATTAAATTTGAATTACATCGGTACTACATTGTTTTAATAGTAATTTAATATTAAGTAATTTTAAATAAATGTTAACAATTAGTATCCGTTACCATTAATACTGTTTCCAGATACTTGAGTCTTGTTCAAGACATAGTTTGTCTAGGCTAAGCTTTATGGGCTTGTATTTTTACAACAATTGGAGAGAAGCCTTTAGTGCTTCGTCAATTAGGAAGACAGAAAAAGTAAAAATGTTTAAATAACACAGCATCATACTTTATTATCACTTTAGTGAAGTTGCAAAACTAAAAATATTGTTTATATACATATGATATAATGTTGTTTTTTTTGTTACAATTTGATAACAATAATATAATGAAAAAACCTCATGTAAACTAGGTAACGTAAAAGTAATCAATAGTAATAAAACTTTAGATAAAGATAATTTTGATTTGAAAATTTACAAATTTTTCTAAAGTCCAGGGGCGGATTTAGGGGGTATCCTGTGTTGCCCAGGACTCACCCATAATATTCTAAAAAAGTGTAAAAAAATTTGTTTCATAATATAAAAAATACTAAACTTAAATTTATAGTAAACTAATATGTACATATAAGATCTTTATAAAAATAAATATTACCTTTATAGAAAAACATACACAGCTATAACACTGATCTCAAAATATAATTTTAGATTTATTTCATGTTATAATTTGAGATCAGTGGGCTATAGCAATGTTTCAAAGGCTTAGCTCTCCTCCGTGATGTTTCAAATCGCCGCTATTAATCAGGATTCTTTTTTTTAAGTAGACGGAACCGAAAGAACCCTTTTAATAAATCGTAATTGCAATGTATTTATTTTGGTTGCCGTAATTAAGGCCAAAAAAATACCTATCCACCAATCCTAGCTCGACGTCACGAAATAAGTTGTTTTGATTTAAATTCTGCCGTTATGGAGGACAACTAAATTAGCGGAAATTTTTATTATTTTTTTTGTAGGTGCCCCAAGAAGACCTAACGGTCTTGTCACAGAACAGAACTAATATATTAATTATTATATTCATAGTTTTTTCAAAAAATATCCCCTATAACATTTTAAAGTTACGTTACGTATTGTAACGTAAACGGATTTCGTTACGTGCAAAATGTCCGTTACTTTTACGAAACCGAGACATAACATTGTAACGTAACGCTACGTGAAAAATGTTAAGTAACACATTGACCTAATGACACGTAACATTGTAGTCTATAATGCCTATCAATGTAATTTCTTTTTTTTTCCACATGTACATTTATATACGTGGAGAGAGAGAGCTAACTTAAAGAGAGCTATATAAAGAGAGAGAAGAAGAGAGAAACGTATAATGTCAAGTCAGAGAGTATAGACAGAATGTGCAATCTATGCGGCAATTATAATATGTAGCATTTAATAAGATAGTTTGATATTTTATAAGATAGATTGATATTACAAACTCTTATTCAATCTGGAATCCGGTTTGCCCACCCAAGTTCGATTTCCTATATATATAAATTATTGGCAGTCCCTACCTTAACTCATGGTATGGAGATATGTGAAAATAATTCTGCTTTGATGAAAAGCTAGATGTAATTGGAAGGAGTGCACTAAAATCACTTTTCAAAACACAGTAAGAACTATACAAATTCGCTATTGAAAATCCAGGATATTTCAAAAAGTGTTCAACAAAATAAATTAAACTTGTTTCTTCATCTTCTTAATAATAAAACAACTTCAGGCATTATCTTTTCACAACTGAAACACCCCTTATTTAAAAATTCGTTTGTTGGCGATATCCAGGACCTATGCCGTTTTCGGATGATAAATTTTCAAAACTTAATTCAAATTAAAAGAAGATAAAAATTGCACTTTCTAAAAGTGAAATTCCCTCCGAAGTTGAACAAACTTTGAAACATGCAATAGAGTGCTGGAATGCGAAAGAGCAAAAAGGAATTTTTAAACAAATTCTGGAGGAAAAAATTCTTAAGTGAAAATCACGAGATATAACTTATTTTTATTTTATATTTGTAAAATACATGAGAGCTTTAATAAATGAAATAATAATTATTATAATTTTATATACATTTTTAATTGTGGGTTTATAAAAACTCGTAAAGTATTACGCTTGTATTATTTACCAAAAAAACTTTGCAAATTGAAATTTTTTTTCGCGACAAATTTATTACATGTAATTAAAAAAATAAAAATAAAAAAAAATATCAACCCACGCTTGTTGGTTAGTTTTTTAAAAAGACGTCCTTTAGTTAAAGGTAAACACAACTTTTAAAGTTTTTAAATTTTACCAAAAAATTTTTACCTAAAAAAAAAAAATTTACCTGCAAAAAAATGTACATTTAAAAGTTAAAATAACTTACGGTTCTTAAAGGGATCCCAAACTCCCAACACATGTTGTGTTCATATTAAAGATAATGTTAAAAAAAAAAAGTTTGAACCAATTTTTTACGATTAAAAATAAACAATGAATACATACCGAGAAAAACTAATGTTGTTGTTTTAGCCAAAGCTCGCCTTCTCCATTTTATTTAAAAACTCGGAGTCTTTAAGTTATATGTCGCAATCTACAGACTTCGGCGATTCCTACGAAGCGCGTTTAATTCATAAAAATTTTAGTGTTTGACGTTACGGTAGACTTTCAACAAATGAAACTCTGAACAAAGTTTTATTTATTTTTGTTCATAAATTTTTTCATTATTTGTTTAGTTATTTATTTTTTACTTAACATTTAAAAAGATATTAAAAACCTCAAATACTTTATGCTGGTTCGTTGCTATAATTGTTATTGCGCTATATTTAATGTTAATAAATGATGAATATTTATTATCTCAATCAAGACTCTGATAAAAAAATGTTTTATATTAGTTACCCGTATAAAATTAGTAACAACATTTTTATTTGGTCAGACGATATTTCGTCTGAATTTACTTTGCATGAAGCTCGGGAAGTTAAACGAAAAAAATTAGTTTGAATAATCACGTCGAAAAATATTTAAAAAAAATTATTATAATGACGGGGGTTCTAAAGTTTTTTATAACAAATACAGGTAAAATATAAATAACTAAATAAAAAGTTCAACATTAAACATCATTTCTTTATCATATTGCAACTGCAAATAATGAAATATTGAACTTGAACTAAATTTACTTATTATTTAGAACTAGTGTTGTGACCAAAACCAAAAATTGTAACTAAATAAACTAAAAATACCGTAACTAAAATTAGTTGACTAACT